TTGTTTTCGGAGCAGCTGCGGATGAGGTTGTAGCAGCTATGGTTGTGGTTTGAGGAGCAGTGGTTGTGGATGGAGCTCCTGTGGTTGTTGTGTGAACAGCTGTGCTTGTGGTTTGAACAGCTGTGGTTGTAGTGGGAGAAGCTGTGGTTGTGCTTGGAGCAGCTGTGGTTGTGGTTGGTGCAGCACTGGTTGTTGTGGGTGGAACAGCTGTGTTGGTGGTTGTAGCAGCTGTGGTTGTTGTGGCAGAAGCGGTGGTTGTGGTTGGAGCAGCTGTGGTTGTGGTCGGTGCAGCAGTGGTTGTTGTGGATGGAACAGCTCTGGTTGTGGATGGAGCTGCTGTGGTTGTTGTGGTAGGAGCTTTGGTAGTGGTTAGAGCAGCTGTGGTTGTGGTGGGAGCAATATTTGTAGTTGTGGCAGCAGCTGTAGTTGTGGATGGAGCAGCAGTGGTTGTGGTTGGAACTGCAGTTGTAGTTGTGGAAGCAGCTGTGGTTGTGGTTGTAGCAGCAGTGGTTTTTATTGGAGCAGCTGTGGTTGTGGTTGGAGCTGCAGTGGTTGTGGTTGGAACTGCAGTTGTAGTTGTGGTTGGAGCGGCTGTGGTTGTGATTGGAGCAGGAGTGGTTGTTGTGGGAGTCGCTGTGGTTGTGCTTGGATCAGTTGTGGTTGTGCTTGTAGCAGCTATGGTTGTTGTGACAGCAGCTGTGGTTGTTGTTGGAGCAGCTGTGGTTGTGGTCGTAGCAATATTTGTAGTTGTGGCAGCAGCTGTATTTGTGGTTGGAGCAGCTGTGGTTGTGGTTGGAGCAACTGTGGTTGTGGATGGATCAGCAGTGGTTGTTGTTGGAACTGCAGTTGTAGTTGTGGCAGCAGCTGTAGTTGTGGTTGGAGCAGCAGTGGTTGTGGTTTGAGCAGCTGTGGTTGTGGTTGGAGCAGCAGTGGTTGTTGTTGGAGCAGCTGTGGTTGTTGTGGGAGCAGCTGTGGATGTTGTTGGAGCAGATGTGGTTGTGCTTGGAACAGCTTTGGTTGCACTTGGATCAGCCATGGTTGTGGTTGGAGAAGCTTTGTTTGTGGTTAAAGAAGCAGTGGTTGTTGTGGCAGCAGATGTTGTTGTGCTTGGAACAGCTGTGGTTGTTGTGAC